CATGTCACACACTCCCAGGGGCATGTCACACACTCCCAGGATCATGTCACACACTCCCAGGGGCATTTATGTCTGACTGAGCTGCTGCACCTTTCATACATTCAGGGACAGAGAGAGAGAATGAGGGAGGAGAATGAGGGAGGAGAGTGAGGGAGGAGGTCCTTACGCGTTCTCCCTTGGAGCCTCGGTCGCCGGGTCTCCCAGTCGCTCCCTGTGGTGAAATCACATGTTTATCTGCAGGAGTCACTCCACCTGGCACACAAATGCTACGCTCGGGGGGGGGCAGAGCAGATTTATAGCCGGATCTTTGAAATTAACTCCTAACCCCCACACTCAGTGCCATCCTGGGCCCCCACTAGCCCCACCCCACCAGAGAGACCTGTCCAGTCATGTGACAGCCCCTGCTTTCCTTGCCAGTTTGCAGCTGGTGACATTCCGCATGTCAAGAAAAGGCAAATACGAGAATCTGACCCATAGGTGGCATTTTCAGGAACAGGAAGCTGTTATTTCTGGGGGGGTATTCAGGCCACGCCTCCGTTTATACGCTGCTGTATTGCCGGGTCGGGCCATGGTTTGCATGTGAAGGCTCTCCGTTGCCCCCTCCAGGCTGAACTCTTTCCTCCACCTCACTACACTGCACCCTCAGCAGCCTCAGCACCGCTGGGAACGTCTTCACAGTGATTTCCTGCAAGATTACAGCCAGCCACGCGGAACAGAATCTGGCAAGGTCTGAAGTGGATGGATCTCTGCAAAAAATATTCTCATCTCTACGCTTTTATCTGTGTCAGCCAATTCCCAGAACGCTTGATGGAAGGTTTAAAGTCCTCATCATGGACAGTGAGTCTTGCTTATTCTCAATCTCACAGACGGTCATTGGGGGAGGGGGGGGGGGGGTGACAAAGATACAATAGACTCCAACCACTAGATGGCACTGTTGCCCCACCAATCACCACAGCCCAGAGGTACGCGCTCTAACAAACGGGGCATGATAGGCCACAGCGGATTGGTGGATCCGTGCTGTTTAAGATGAGCGACACATTGACAGAGGCGGCAGGAATAATGACGGAGTGTCACCGAGTCGCGACTCCCGCTGCCCATTTCTCAAGAGCCAAAGTGTCACATTTATCTGTTTGCAGAGCTTTTCCCAGTAACGTTCCGCACACAAAGGGGAGATCCGTGAATATACACCGGCCATGGGGGAGGGAGGTGGAACATGAGAGGAAACAGCATGCCGGGGGAAGAAGAAGACGACAGGAGAAGAGAATCATTTCAGCAGGAGGGCTGGGCCCCAAACGGGCCCCTTCTGAAGGGCCCCTACATGGAGCGTGAAGCCGCATGGGGCCAAAGCAGCCTCACATTCTGTGCTAATATGCAGACTTTTAACATTCTGGACACCTCAGAGAGGCCAGACCGCAGCTTGCAGGCCGTGTGACGCGGCACCGGATGGGTGACCCCACTGGGCCCTTCCGAGGGGGAGGGCGCAGTCACGGGGAGCCCTTTATCAGCCAATGGGGGGAGAGAATTCTGATGTGCTGCTGAGGCCATCTGCGCTGGGGCCCACCGGGGGAGGGGAGCGGCACGCGGGCCACAGCCTCGCTGGCTGGCTTTCCTGGGGAAGGAGGGGCAGGCCGGCTCGGTGGATCCCCCCCACCCAGAGCGAAACAGTCACATGCAGCGGATTACTCACCTCGTACCCAGGAATCCCGTCCTTTCCGGGTCTTCCCTGGTGAGATGGTGCAAATGAGGGAGAGTTACTGAGCGGCCAGGAAGATTTCTGCATGCAGAAGCTCTATATTATTCAATTTAACAAGAGGAAGTTATGTGGAGGCGCAGAGCCAAAGGGAACCATGCAGCCCCCACAGCTCTGCCACACTATCACCAGCATGAGTGCGTCGATGGCAGGGGTCCTTACGGGAACGCCGTGCGGTCCCTCGGGGCCGGGAAATCCAGTCTCTCCCACCGGGCCTCGTTCCCCCTGCCAGAAGACAAACATAACCCCCCCTCCCCCTCAGTCTCCGTGGCATCCTGAGATAAGGATGGGCCTTCCCCAAATGCAGAACATGCAAATAAGGTCGATTAATTAGGCAAAGGATAGGAATTATAGTGAATCTTTAAAAAGTTAAGAAAAATCCAGCAATACTGGGAAATATTTATGAAGAGTATGACACATTCAAGCAGGAATATAAAGGGAAGGAGCTGGCTAATGATCTGTGGAGAGTACAGGTCAAAGGTGTTCAGGTTCCATGGAGTCTGGATGTGTCAGGCAGATGCCCAAACTCAGACGCACCGGTTCTCCTGGGATTCCTGGTGTTCCAGGGGCACCCAGCTTTCCCTGTGAAAGTAAGAGAGAGAAAAACGACCTTATATTAAAAACGACCATGACAAGGATAAAATGGCAGCCTGTCAGGGACAGGAGGAAGACTCACCGGCGAACCTGCGGCACCTGGAGCTCCGGGGATGCCCGGGTCTCCCTGGAAGACAGAGTAGCCGAGCTTAAGGGCTGTGTCATGACAGCATGATGCCGTGCTTAGCTTTGCACAGCTCATCATGGCTACCCCGTGTTTTTACATAAATGAGGGCTCACTGGCAAATGCAGAGCTCAGTGCAGGGCTCAGTGCAAGGCATGATGAGATATGCATTAACAGACACATTAACTCGTCAGCTGCACAATGAGCAGGTCTCCATGACAGTCTGAATGGAACAGCTTGGGCGCTGACTCAGAGCCCAATGGCCTGGGATTTGCTAAAATTAAGCCGCAAAGGCCACCGCCAAATCCTTCACGTCTGCTCGGTCCGAGGCCCACGGAACAAAGGCTCCTCGAGACCCAGAGGAAATGGGGCTCTGAGACCCATTTGGAAAGTGGCTGTGTTTATGGGGGATTAAAGACGTGTTAAGGGTTGGGTTTAGCAGTTCTTACCTTGGCACCAGGCAGCCCTTCCAGTCCTGGCAAACCCATGGGCCCCGGCTCCCCCTGCCAGAAAGACACAGGCATAGGGTTCTTCTCTGCAGACACTCTTTTTAATAGACACAGGATTCTCCTCCTTTTCAGACAAAGGGTTCTTCTCCCTCACAGACACAGGGCTCTCCTCCTTCACCGACACAGGGTTCTCCTCCCTCATAGACACAGGATTCTCCTTCCTCACAGACACAGGGTTCTCCCCCCTCACAGACACAGGGTTCTCCCCCCTCATAGACACAGGATTCTCCTTCCTCACAGACACAGGGTTCTCCCTCCTCATAGACACAGGATTTTCCTCCCTTGCAGACACAGGGTTCTCCTCCCTTACAGATGCAGGGTTCTCCTCCCTCATAGACACACGGTTCTCCTCTTTCACAGATAGATTGTTCACCTTTACTGACACAGGGATCTCCTCCCTTTCAGACACAGGGTTCTCATCCCTCACAGATACAGGGTTCTCCCCTCTCATAGACACAGAGTTTTCCACCCTCACAGACACAGGGTTCTCCTCCTTCACAGATAGATTGTTCACCTTTACTGACACAGGGACCTCCTCCCTCACAGACACAGGGTTCTCCTCCCTCACAGATACAGGGTTCTCCCCCCTCATAGACACAGGATTTTCCTCCCTTACAGACACAGGGTTCTCCTTCCTTACAGACACAGGGTTCTCCTCCTTTACAGACACAAGGTTCTCCTCCCTCACAGACACAGAGATCTCCTCTTTCACAGATAGATTGTTCACCTTTACTGACACAGGATTCTCAGGGCAGCAGCACTCCATGTTAAGGCGCTTGTACTGGGACCAGATTAACATGCGGGCAATCGTTTGTGACGCTGCTGTACGCCGACATAATTGCTGCACATGTAGATTGTCATGACTAAGCGAGTGCAGCCACAGGGCGACGGGGAGGGAAGCGGCTCAGCCGCCAGACGGATTGCGCCAATTCGGCAATGGCTGCAGAGCTGCCTGGACAATTTATTCAAATGTCAAATTAACATCCTGGGTGAAAAATTACTCTGCAACAAAACAATAAAAAAGCAATTGCTCCCACAAGGACAGAGAATTCAAGCTGATATTTCGCGAATGCCATTGTTCTGCCATTGTTCTGCCAGTGAAGACTTTGGGGAATTTTGATATTTGGGAATGCAAAGGCTCATGGGTAAATGGCGTGTGGAGAATGTGAACTTCCTGTCACGGTGAGCTGAAGCGCTTCCTGCATTCTCCTCTTTGAGTTTGTAGGAGCCTGTTTTTACATGTTGTGATGCTGGAGTTTGGATGTGTCTGAGAAACTACAACAAATGAGTCTGTAAAAGAAAAGTGACTCACGGCTCTGCCTTCATCCCCCTTGGGGCCCTGAAGAGAAAAGATGGGATAGGGTTAGTGTTAGTGTTAGCAGAAATACAGATGAGAGCAAAGACTGGGGTCTAAGCACAGGGTCAGCCATTCGTCTGGGGTTCCTGGAGCATTTTGGGGGGGGACTTTCTGGTCAAAAGCATCCAATGAGCTACATAATATGACACAAATATGTTCACACCTCTACCTCAACAAAACTGTTCCTGTGAAAGCCGATGATAAATCAAACTTTTCACTCTAAGTTAAAAATCCACCTCCAAAACGTCCCTATGAGCCAAAGACTTCTTATATACATCATATACGTGCAAAGATACCAGTTTAATCTTTTCTGCCGCTTTTCACACTGACATAAAATAGAAACGTCACCAGGAAGGGTGGGGCTGCGTACCAGGGGTCCAGGCGGTCCAGGGTTTCCCACGACGCCCCCTACAGCCTGTTGAGAGAGGAGCGTTAACCACACATGAGACCTTAACCCCTACCCAGCCCTAACCTTAACCATAAGTAACCAAACAAAATAGGACACTTCCACTTTTTTGATTGCATTCACAGATCTTTGAGGGGACCTGAAAAATGGTCCCCACAACATCAGAATAACCAGTTTTTATTACATTGTGCGGGACATTTGGTCCCCACAAAGTAATATAAACCTAATGCACACTGCTCCTACCTGCAGCTTGTATAGGCTACTCATCCCGTTGCCCTCGACGTAGGGAACACCCTACAAACACAAACACCACCATGAACAAAAGAAAATATCCAAAACGCTGTCCTCTGAGAGCCCGTGTTCCGCTCTCCACACCAAGGCTGTCAGAAACGACACAGAAATCCGTGCAAGCGATTTAAAGGTTGCGACCCCACCGCTGACTCCAGGGGAAGAACCGATGTGTTGGACAGGAGCGAGAAGCATGGGGGGGGTCTTTCATCTCCCGAAGAGGAGCTGAGCTGTGAAGGGCACTGGCTGCTGCTAATACAGGAGCTTATCTTATGCGACGGTACCAACAAAGCCCAGGATCAATCCGTTTTTCATCTCACGAGCCTGACTTACATCACACTGTCCAGTACTTACGAGGATCGCTTCCCTCGTTCCACTCCCACTGCACACTGGGGCAGTTTTCAGATTTAACACAGGATAACGCCAATGATTCTGCATCTTCATGTTAAACTTTGGCTGCTTCCTACTCAGGAGTAGAGTCCCTGTCATGGTTGACTGCTTGACACAGGAAAGTCAAAGAGCCAGAGACACTGACTTTGCTGGACCCTGAGCCACAATCAGCAGGCTCGTATCTACCAGAGCTTCCCAAGACCAAAGAAACCCCCCAGGAGGCAACAGAATCTCTGGGGAAGGGCGTGTGCTTGAGACCCCAGCAAAGCATGCAATGGACACTCAGGTGGCCTGAGAGGCAGTCAGACACTCGTCACTCCCTGCTGATGAGATGCAGCAACGCTATGAGCTGCAGGACTGAAGTTCAGCAAATGCAGAGGACTTACGGGGGGTCCTGGGAGGCCGGGTTTGCCGGGGGGGCCTTCGCCACCCTGAGAGGGACAGAGAGCACAGCATGGGGGTCCTCCATTATACCACATTGCAGCACACGTTCTCCAGCACAAACCAGAACCAGATCATCGGTCCTATTGGTAAGTCCAGTGGTAAGCTGTGCCGGGAGGCTGGCCGAGGCACTGCCTGTCGGAAAAGTGAGTCTGCCGAAGCACATGAATGTACAGTATGTATGTATATATTCGGGGCAGTATGTCTTACTCTTTCTCCCTTAGCTCCAGGCTGCCCCATTGGTCCAGGCCTTCCCATGATGCCCTAGAAAGATAAGCCTGTTTATGGGAAGTTTGAAAGCAAAATGAGGCCGCAAGGCATCAGGCCAAAGCTTCACCCAAAAGGGGGGTCTTACCGGACTTCCTGGGCGACCAGTGGGACCGGGGAATCCAGGCACTCCGGGGGTACCCTGGCGAGAACAGGGGTCACAGTAAGGGGGCGGGTTCCTTAGCAGCACTGGGGTTAGCCCACGAGCGACATAAGCATACCTGCATGATGCATGCACTCTAACGAAACACCACCCAGTGGACAGTGCACACAGACACATGCGTACCTCATCTCCCTTTTCGCCAGCAGGACCTGGGAATCCTCTTTCTCCTTTCACACCCTAGAAATGACCATGATATTCACAGGTGAGGCTCAGCTCTATGGCAGGCCCAGCCGTTGTGGAGCATTACCACTCAGTTATGTGTGCCGTTTGCTTAGGGCAGTGTTTCTCAATTCGGCCCTCAAGGACCCACAAATGGTCCATGTTTTTGCTCCCTGCGAGGGAGGGAGCAAAAATGTGGCCTTCTGGCAGGGAGCTGGGAGGCAGCAAAAACATGGCCTGTCTGGCAGGGAGCTGGGAGGGAGCAAAAATGTGGCCTTTCTGGCAGGGAGCTGGGAGGGAGCAAAAATGTGGACTGTCTGGCAGGGAGCTGGGAGGCAGTGAAAACATGGCCTGTCTGGCAGGGAGCTGGGAGGGAGCAAAAATGTGGCCTTTCTGGCAGGGAGCTGGGAGGGAGCAAAAGTGTGGACTGTCTGGCAGGGAGCTGGGAGGCAGCGAAAACATGGACCATCTGTGGGTCCCTGAGGGCCAAGTTTGGAAAAACTGGCTTAGCGTAAGAGAGAATAAAAATGAAATGTGAATAAACCGCGCCATGTAATGTGTATCAGCGGTCTTCCTGGGGGGTTTATTTCTAAGACCCAGAAAGCAACTATGCTGTCAGACACCAGGAAGCCTGCTGTGCTGTGCTATGTCAAGAGTGTTAACGTGGCAGAAACAAAGAGGCTAAACAGAGTGCAGCGTATGTGTTACTCTCAGCCCTGGCGGTCAGGCACCTCTGCTGAGCTGCCATGTGACCTGGGGGTAATTGGGGGTCAGGTGAAGGTCACCCACCTTTGGGCCCTCTTTTCCTGGGTTTCCCATGGGGCCACGCACACCTGGATCTCCCTGTCGCCACAGACACACAGAACAATGAAACTCTTGCAACTCTCACCATTTAGCAAAATGTATATTAACAACAACAATAACAACAACAACAACAATAATAATAATATAATTGACCTAGGGCTAATGCTACAAGGGCAATACAAGCTGTAGGAATAGCCAGGAAATGCTGCACAGGAAGTGCTGAGCCTCTGACAGGAAGTGCTGAGCCTCTGACAGGAAGTGCTGAGTACCTGACAGGAAGTGTGCGTCACAGAGAGGCTCTTACCTTAGGGCCCTCCATACCCTCAAGTCCGGGCTGCCCCAGGGACCCCTTCTCACCCTTCTGGCCCGGCAGGCCGGCGACCCTTTCCTGGCACAGACTGCAGGCGTTCTGCATAGGAGGGCAGAGGGAAGCACTGTCATGATGTTTTTCAGCACTGAAAGCTTACCCCCCCTGCCCCAGCTTACCCCCCTGCCCTTGTGTATTCTCATACCATCCTTGCTGGTTTTTACCAGAACATTCAGCTGCCTATGTATTTAGAGAAATTTTCTGTGACATTGCGCATCGAAGCTGTGTCAAGATTATTTCCATTGCTCTGGTGTTATTCTACAAGATGCTAATTATCAAATTAGTGTTATTATAATTAATTACATGCTTGGAGAAAGACCATCTCCATGCAATTAAAACTCTTTCTGTATGCTTTCTTGGGTGGAGAGATTTACTGACTGTCAGCCATTGAGAAATAGCAGGTCCGGGAGGGAGTGAAACACCATGTTTTGAGTGGCCCCATGCTCCCATTTACTGTGCTTCAGACTTTGCTGGTGCCGCACTCTGAAAGCAGCCTTTCACTAGGATACCACCCTGCCTAATGAATAGATGATAGCCTGGAGTGCATTCAGGAGGAGCGTTCAGAGAAAGGCCCTGCATTTCCTCGTATTGTGGACGATTAGCGAGAGACGTGTGACCGCGGTGGCTGAGGAGGGCGGTATTCAACTAAGACACGTCTCGCTAAGAGTGCTTAAGGCTGGAGATCCCTCTTTGCTCTCAAATGGCACCATTTTATCTCATTGGATGCCATTACTGTCCCAGAAGCAGCTCTGACTTTGGCGTTCCATAATCTGCTGTGAGGAAACACGTCATACATATGAAATGCATTAAAACGTATTAAAAGAACACACAAATTAAAAAAAGATTATTATGAATGAGGTTTTTTTAATAGACTCTACTGAAGGCATGATAGAGGGTTCTGGGCAAGGGCAGCAGTATCTCAAAGTGCCTATGAGGTCTCGGTGCCCTGCATCGGCTTAGAAGAGGCAGAGTCTCCCGAACGATAAAAGATCTTTCAAGGAGACGGACATGTTGCAGCTACCCCATAAAGGAGGGCTTTCCGGCCCCGGCAGATAAGAGCAGCCTGGCAGACTGCTCTCCGCTCAGTTAAAAGGCCCACCTCTATTATTCTTTCATCTTTACATCACTCTCTCAAATTCCGCCCGCTGCCGTCCTCAGCACAAAGACCATCCGTCACGAGCCGTGTGAGGTGCTGTGGCATGAGATTTAAATACGCTCTGATCTTACACTGGGTGAAGGCAGTCAGTCGTCGCCCCAGGAGTAGAGATAATGACTTACACATGGCTAAGAACTCCATGCTACTTGGTTTCATTGTTTTCTATCAGTAAATGGCATAACGAAGAATAACACTGGCCTCGGCTCTTTAGACTGGCAGTCACAGTGTCTGGTGGTCACTGCAGGGATGATCTGCAGTGAAAATGCTACACAAACAAACCACATGGAAATAAACTGGTCCAGATCAGGGCCAGTCTCGAGATATAGAGGATGAAGACACTTGCCGACCGCAGTGGAGACCGGGGGTCCTGACAGCCAAGCCGAGATGCTGGCGGCTTTGTGATATTTTAATACGCATCAACAAGTTTACAGCTGCCCAACTGTCAGACAAAACGATCGTTTACAGCAGCAATTCAGCATGAGTCCTGCAGGGGGCACCGTTGGGCTTTGGATGGGAGATCATCAAATTAGGAACTGCACGTCTCTATTAAAATTGGCATTTCATTGCATTTCCTCCAGCCTGGGAGACACACAAAGGCTGATAACTTTCCCCAGATGCAAACAAACCCTGCTTACTAAGCTGAGGCTTCACCTGCAGCCTTATTTATCTAGCTGATGTGCTCTTTAATTGTGTGAGAGAGAAAGGCTCTCCATGACTTTTCCAAGAGATTTGCAAAACAAAAACCAGGTGGGTAACAGGTATTTTGTGTCTCTTCTAATCACTGGCCCAATCACGCATGTCGAGATTCTGGTCTACCTTCCAAGGATGCTACCAAGTGTTCTGATTGGACCATCTGTCACCAGCAGTCACATGGACAGGCGACAGCGTGGGACCTTCTGTAAGCCGCATGTAGGTGAAAGGCACAGCGGATGTCACAATACCTTAAGCAAGGCACTCATATCCCGAACCATGGGCAGCGCCGTCTGGAAGGGAGGAGCAGAGCGATGACTTTTTAGCACTTGTGGCATTTTACAGAGCAGTAAAACAAAGTCTGTCTGTGTCAGACGTGTCAGGATAGTGCGTCCAGTGCGGGTTCCAGCCTCCCTGTACTCACCGGTTCACCTGGGGGACCGGGCCGGCCGTCTCTGCCAGGGGGGCCCTTAAACGGCGGAAATATAAAAAAAGAGAATGAATACAGAGTAAGGCAGCCATGCTGCCCCTCCTCAGCCAACTGCATGATGCTCAACCTCTGCGATGGCAGCAACTGGATAGCCTGACATTGGCAGGCAGGAACACAGCATCCTCCCAGTGTCCCCATAGCCAAGGGGCTGGCCACTGCACTACACGCACTGTGTTACGCTCAGATACAGGGGAACAGAAAAAAGGAACACAGCATCCTCCCAGTGTCCCCATAGCCAAGGGGCTGGCCACTGCACTACACGCACTGTGTTACGCTCAGATACGGGGGAACAGAAAAAAGGAACACAGCATCCTCCCAGTGTCCCCATAGCCAAGGGGCTGGTCACTGCACTA